TATTAATTTAAAACTCTTTTTTAAAATAATTTTTGGGGCAGAGTGCCTTCATGATGTAACTGATGACTGTGTAACTGGACAGCTCTGCAGCTCCACCCATCTACCTTATCAACCTCCTGCAGAACTCTGATGTTTGCTCTCTGTGACTTGACACCCCACCTCATCGCAGAGAACTTCTGCCCAGAAATTATCACACACCAAATGCTCAGTGGTTACATCATGCAGATGTATCGTCTCTGTCTAGCTTTCAGTCGAGTGCTCAGCCATTTCTGTGTAGCTGGACGGGACAATGATGTCCTGGTGGTTCCCCACCATCCCTCCTAAGCTGTTTATCACCCATCCCCACTAATGTAAACTGCCCATCTGTTTTAAACAAAACACATAAAAACACACATAGTCATTTCCCACTGTGCCAGACCCTGAAAGAAGAGATTGCTGGGTATTCTGGTGGCAAGCAAATCCACTCCAGATGTGAACAAATTGTCCCCCTTACTAATTGCTATTGTGCTTGCTGATGCTGATTTTGGATCTCTTTGGTTTGTGTAGATGGGTGTGTGAGTGCTTGCCACAATACGTTAAGTTTACAGGTGCATGTGTACTTACAGAGGAGCTTGAGCGTGCGTCTATATGAAGCTGACGGTGTTAAAGTAATAGCTGTGAAGTAAAGCGTGCTAAAGGAAGGAGGTAAATCAAGATGACACTGCAAGATCAGTTGGAGAGCAGAACACTGGTATACCCTGCCATAAACAGAGCCACATGTTTCTTCCCAGAGCCTGATGAAGGCTTTATTTAAGGGAGCCCATTGCTTTCTTCTGTCCTGTCATCAGAACTTCTCAAAGGAAACTTCTGGCTTCCTCGTCCCTCACAGTGCATCTAATCAGGACTGATTAGGTGTGTGGTAGCCAGAAACATGCAGGGGAGTGGTGGCTGCTGCTGTGCATGTGAGGGCTTTTCCTGCATGGTCTACAGGGCTGAGAAAAAGACAGAGGAATCAGAGGATGTCATGTTGTGGCATTTCATAGGTTAGTAAAAATTGCTCCACAGATGTAAATAACAGCCCACCACGCAACAACTGCAATCAACCTGACTGCGGTTGCAGCAAACCACACTGTAATCCAAATAAACAAACAAAGGCATAATGAAAGAAATCTCACTGTTTATGCCGGGAAATTGCCTCACCTCATCCATCTTCAGACCTTCTGTTTCTCTATCATCTATTTTTGTCCAGTTTCTGTTTGCTTTATAGGATCCTAACAGAAGAAGCTGCAGGGGGAAAAACAACCAAAGCGGTTACATCAGATCCCACCAAAGGCAGCGTGGTCAGCTGAATTTAGTCATACATTAGTCGTACCACAGGTAAAATCTGTAATGTACAATCTTTGTGAAAGTACAACTGATGGTAGCAAAATATACAGCTGATGTCAAAGAAAGTCCTACAGCCCAGTCTGCAAAAAGTTCACAAACACAGAATGCAGTTAATCTGTTAATTTTGTATATAATGAAAATAAATGTGCAAAGACGACGCAAACTGCTTATGAGAAATATCCTTTTTTATTTTGACGCCAGAAACACATTTCAGAAAAAGCTACAACAGTGGCATGGTGTGTTGCCTCATTTTTGTTTTTGGGTTGTCTTTTTGTTTCAATACAGTGGTGTGCTGTCACCTGACAACAAGATGGTTCCTGATTCAAACCCTTGTTGGTGCTCTTATGAGTGCAGGCGCTCCCTGTGCCTACATGAGGTTTCCTCCTGTTAGTCTGACACATGCTCGTTAGAGACGTTGCTGATTCTGAATTGGCCGTGAATGTGAAGCTGAGAAAATGCTTATATGTGTGTTTAGTTAAAATGTCATCTGAAGCGTTTTGCTCAGTAAGAATGCAGATGTACTAAAAAATACAAGTGCATTACTTTGTTAGGGTTTTTCTGGGGTCTTTTAATGTTACTACACATGGTGAAGTCTACCAGCTGTTCATGTTTTACATCAAGATGTTGTTCTTTAATTGTTAAACTATTTGCTTATGAGATTTTTTTGTGTAATGAACCTTTGCTACTTTTAACTTAAAGAAGACCCAACCTCTTTAGGACATTCTTTTTCTACCAAATCACATGTTAATAACCTGTTTGAATATCCTAGTGGTTATTAAGTAACCTATAGGTTCTTGAAGTGATCTTTAAAGCATCAGTTTTCCTGGGTTTTCACCACCTTTTTTAAAATCCTTTTTGCTGGAATTAAATCCAAAATTAACATTTTTTTCCTAAATTTTATATATTTAAAGATTCAGTTTGATTTAATGTTTATTTACATTTTTAAACAGATCAATTTTTTAAGACACCTGCTCCTTAAGTGGTTAAAGTAAAGAAAATAGGGCCCTCTTAAAATGGCACTAATTAGTTTTAAGTCACAAGTGCTTGAACTCCAGCTGAAGTGCCTAATTCCCACAAATATTTATCAGACTAAGGCAGTTTTAATTAACAGCCTGGTTGGAAAATCCTTGAATATTCTGAGAACATTACCTAGAGTGTAGTATTTGTAGTTTTTGGGAGATAAAAAATTCTCACAACTTCCCTACTTCATGACCAGCGGCCCTTGGCCTTTGAGGGTTTAAATTGTCCAAAAATGGAAGATTTTCCTAGTTTTTTACATTCAAAGCATTAAAACCATTATTATATCCACAGATAATTTCTACAACTGTAGCATCAGGTTAAAGAGAATTCTTCATTAAACAAACTTTAATGAAGAATTATGTACTTTCTTTTGGCATTCAAAAGAAAGTACATAATTTCATCCAAAGTACATACTTGTCATTGCTTTTGGACAGTTTCAAATTGTTACACTTGGTATTCAGAGATTAATTCATGGAACGTCTAGGCTTAATTTAAGAATAAAAATGTCCAATATGAATAGAAAAAAATGGGTATAAAAATGCAATTATTTCCTTCCTTATGTTATTTATAACTTCCTTATTTGTCTATTTTTAAATCTGAGCTTTCTATGTTTGTCTGAATATTTTATTAGTATCAGTGGCTTAATTGTTTTAATAATGAAAAAATCTTTAAAATAATTATACAAATGTGGTTTTATTGAATATGCGTTTGTTCTATTAATTTTTGTGAGAAATTTTAATTCCTACATATCTTGTGTTGACAGACCTGCTTTTATTTGTCTAACAGTCAAATATTTAACTGCCCCCCCCCCCAAAAAAAAATAAAAGTCTGCTTGAATACAAAAAACCGACCTGACTTTTTAAAGTAAACTTTGAAAAACAAAAAACAAAACAAACAAACGAACATAAAACAAAACATCTCAACACTATTCGTGTTTAAAGAGGTTTTTAGCCTGTCTGTTTTACATAAACGAGTCTGCGACGTCAGGTACAGATATCCGGTCCGATCCAGTGGAGTAACATTTAGGTCCGAGACAACAACTTACAATATAGGCTTATTATAAGCAGCTTCTTCTTTAAAAAACGGGGAAAAAAGTGGTTCGGGAAACAAAAAGCATCATCATCGTCATCATCATTTCCGCAAGCTCTTTCCAGCACACCGTTGTAGTAGGTACGTCTATTGTAGTTGTGCAGCACAGCAGCCCCGAACAACAAACACTTTCTGCCCCGCTCCCCTTTATTGAACAAGCGGAAAGGTTTTTGATGCTTTCATGTTCTGTCGGAAATTTTTCAATTTAGACTAATTGCCCATGAAAATCCGAGTAACAGGATAAGTGCATTCTGCATGGTGATGTATTTTTTATTTTAATTGTTCACTGGCCAGTCAGCACCTAAATGCAAGATTTTGAATCATGTGTTTCTGTTTAATAAAAGCATTTTGCACTTCAACATGATGCAAAGGCTTCGGAATAAGTTGAATCATTTATGCAATTCAAAAATTACACAAATATATGTATTGATCTTTAAAAACAGTATTTTATTTTTTGTATGAAAATAGAACATAAGAACTTAAATGCCGCATTATTGAAGACACCCCTTCTCATTTCACTCACTCCGGCGCTGTGCACAAACACGTTCACCCTGCGGGCTCGGCGGTGGGACCGTTGGCAGCCTGTGGAGGGGCTGGGAAGTGGTGCCGGAGAGGCAGTTAGGGTGATGAGGAAACGAGTTGATGTGCCCTGGAAGTAATTCTTTCACCCTTCTCCCCTCCCCCTTCCCCAAAGGACACACAAGATGGGAGAGAGAGCAACGGGACCACCACCACCAACCACCGGTAGCCTTCAGCACGTGGGGACCCGGGGTGATCATCCACATTCCAGCTTGTGGGCTGGAACTCCTACTCGTTATCTGGCGCCATGTTTTCACTTTCTGATACCTTTAAAAAGCACCTTAATTATACCAGCACATTAATTTCAATAAAGTGGTTTTGTATTTTTGTATAACGCATTTAAGGGTAAAAATGTTTTTCAAGTTGAATCCACACCCCCCCCCCCCCAATTATAAATAACAATAGCGAAATGATGATGAAGTGGCGTTATGAGAAATCTTATGTTCTTGATGGTTCTTAAAACGCAGACTCCCATTGTAGCTAAATATTGACGTAGTTATTCCAACAAAAAGGCTGAAATAAACAAATACTACATTTAATAAACAGAAAATTCTTTTTTTTAAATTATCAGTGGTTTCCTCATTATTGTTGAGCTTCTTAAAAAAAACAAGATAAATAAAAATAAGAAAAAGCAAAGCATCGAACAAGTGCATTCATAGCTTAACAACTAAGCCCTCCCCTCTCTACTCAAGTCTGGGCACAGCCTGCATTTTAGACATTGTAGAAGCTTCTGTTTTCAAACATCTTTCTAATTGTTTTAAAGGTTTTCTTGTTTAAAATCAATGCGCAGAGTGAAGATAAGCTGCAGGTGTTATAACTGAAACTAGTACTGCTAACTGGGAGGACTGGCTGCAAGCTGCTGAAAAACCAGTAAAGCTGTCGCTGGTTAGAAAAAAAAGTTTGTGAAAGTGGCCTGACGTCACACTCCCATAATGCTTACCGCCCCATAACTCCGCTGCAGCCTGAGGAGAGCCAGACACACTCTCAGGCCCCGAATATAGAAAAATTATTGGGAAAAATCGGAAAAAATATCCAAGCAACAGATCGGGAGGAGAAAAGAGCGTGGAGCGGTGGCGTGGGCTCTCCCACAGCGGGTTTTTGGTCCGGTCCGGGATGGGAGGCTACCGGGAGTCCTTGTGAAATTGACTAATGCGATGCTGGAAACTTTCTGGTGGGTAAACTGCTCGTTTTTTTCCTCTAAGCGCTCATATTGTGGCTTCACGTCCTCCCGTCTGCATGTGTGCCTTTGCTACAACTTTCCGAGCCTCGTATCAGCCCTCAGTTGTCTCTAAGTGACACTTGAATTGTTGTGAACGTGTTGTTACCGTCGCACGATCGGACTTTGCGCTATTTTTTCTTTAGTGGCACCGTGTAAGAAGCCTGGGTATTTAATTTATAATTACGCGATCGTCTGTTCTGCCTCGTCTTCTTCCTCAGTTTTTTTTAAACGTTTTCTTGTTTTTGCTCGATGATTATGTTGCAAACGCAATCTGTAAAGTTGTTCCACACGGCGCACTTTGTGCAGCGGCCCCTCGCTGTTGACGTTTGATGTAGTTTTGCAAGTTTTCGGCGATCTTGTGATTTTTAAGCAATTTTCGAACATTCATCAAGTGTGCAGTGCCGCTGCACGGGAGAGGGAGGTCGAGAGAACGTCCTGTTGCGTGTGTTTGTTGACCAGAGGGGAAAAAACAAATTTGCTGAAACGTGCACGGATGTTTATGCCCATCACAGATTCTTTAAATAAATTTTGCGACCGATATTCAGTCGCCCTCCTTGAACCTTGAAGCCATTGTTGCTGTCTGAATCGAGCCGTCCACTAGGTTGTGGTTTATGTCACAGTTCGGATGTTTTGCTGGGAGAGTGTGCGCTTTTCCTTGAAAGAGGGGGGTAAATAACAACCAAGACCCTGCCAAAGAGCCGGGGTGGTTGGGGTCACAGTGTGGGGGTTCAGTTTGTGCACTTGTTTCTGATTTGGCTGCACGCTTTTTACGTATTTACTGTCATTCAGGAGGGAGGAAATGAGCACAAACAACGGTGGAAGTAACTCTAAAGTAGTCAGCTTTGCAGAGGACTGAACAGAAAGCTGTTTCTCCTATTGGGAGATTGTTGCATTCTGGTGTTTTTCATTTATTAGTTATTGCAGCAATATTACATTTCAAGATTAGCAAACTTTTTCCCTGTTCTGCATAAAGCATGAACTCTGGCTGAACTTTGGGATATTTAAGTTGTTTTCCTAACATCACTAATAAACTATAAGCAGACATCCTGTGATTGTACAGTAAAGTGCACATCCACAGTGGGAGATTCCACTACACGCATACACGGTTTTCCATTACCAAGTTATACATCGTCACACGAGCACACTAAAAATGACAATATGGAAGTACATCGGCCAACATAAGTATCAGCTGTTGATATATCTGTGTATTGTTGTTTTCCATCATTTGTAGCAGCGTGGAAATGTTCAAAGATACTGTGAGGAAAGGAAAGTACTTTAGGACAGTTAACAAGAACAGAAATGTGGACATTTGTGTCAGCATCTGCTGTTGGCTAGATTGTTATTTTAAACATAGAAATCATTCCAGACTTTGATGATCAATGTAACCTAAAAGCAAAAAAACAACAACCAAAAGATCAACTTACTTCCACAAACATAAAGGCTCAAAAATGATTGATTGATTTTTCAGTTAATGTAGGATAAATACCACATGACGTGTCACATTAGTTTTTAGAAGCTATTAGCCATTTTGCGAGTTATTAAGAAAATACATACACTACATATTAGACATGCATAGGTTGTGAAACTCTAGACTGATGCTGATGTTTAAATTAGCAATTCGATTGATAGCTGATATTTTTTCAGTATTTTTATTTTGTTTCTGTTGTTATTTTTGCGACACAAAGTAATCTTATTTGAAAACAAAGCTAATCTCTGTTAGTCTTTCAGCTTTTTATTACACAATATTTGCGCATCTAGTGAGTACAAAAATGATGTGCAATTAAAGATAAATATCAGCGACTGATATCAATAAATCTTGCTTTGTTATCCTGCTGATTTGTGTAGAAAATGATGTGATGAGTCACTTAGTAAGATGTCAATTCATTTATTTTACTGGGATCAATAAAGTTTTCGAACTGAAGATAACTTCTGCCTAATGGTTCAAGGTCAAATTCATATTTTGCTTGCTACTAAATCCACAAACACAATTTCAGTGCATGTAGCTATAAATCAAGTCAAACATTTTGTTATAGTTCATATGAATAATGTGATATAGCTGGACTACCAGTCAGAAAAGTCATACTCACGTTTCAGGTATAAAAGGTAGCTAAAAAGGCTAAATTCAGATCAGCATGTAATGAACTTTAGGTAGGTTTTTCCCTTCAACTTCACGCCTACATGTCTGAGCCAAGCATGTACCATCAAGGCCTCCAGCTACATAATAAGGAAATGGAAGTGAGGTTGTCACGAGACAATGCCTTTGCTGGTCGCTCTGCAAGTTGAGACCCATGTGTTGATGTTTGCTGCTCTCTCACTACAACCGTTCGGCTGACGATGGATCCGCCCCATGGAGCATTTGCCAGATTTCAATTCTCACACGTGGAGCGTTGAAGAAGATGACTGCTTTATTTTTTTACATGCAGTGACAGATGATATATGAAAACAAAGGTATTTGAATATAATAGTATTTTCCCCCACAAATTCACAGAAGCTCACGCTAATTCCCATCAGTATGTGTGTTTTCAGAATGATTATGTGTACTCTAAAGCACAAAAAACCCTCAAGAAACTCCAAGACTCCAGTACTCCTACTTTATATTTTTTCCTCAGACATAACCATCTAATGATTCATGTTATTCTGCTGCCTGAGCTTTCAGATCTGCTCTGTTCAGTTGAGCACAGTCTTTGCTTGAGTCCACTGAGCCAGCTTCTTCTCATTAACTTCCATGCATTGCCTTACATTACTTCCATGCCCTGTGGTCGAGAGGCAGCACGTTTCATGTTTGCCTTTATGATTGAGCGAACGTGGGTGCCTGTGAGAGCACACACACTTGCCTGTTTGGAAGATGTGTGTGTGTGCAAGTGTGTGTCTGCGCTCCATTTTAGTGTGTGTGAGTGAGAGATTGCTGTTTTTTGAGTCCAAGGGAGGTCTTCTCTTCTGAAAATCCCCCTCACAATTCCTTGCACCTCTTCGGGCAGCAGCGGTGGTGGCGGCAGCGACGGCGGTGGCAGCAGCAGCAACAGCAGGCTGATTACCATGAGAAAAGAGCATCAGTTGGGTTAATGGGAGGGACAGCCCTCTGAGGGGACAAATGGTAGTTAATAACCAGGGAAGAATCGGAAAAGCTCTGATCCCTTGCTTTGTACTTTTTCACCTTCTAGAGGCACGGATGGGATGGGGTTGGAGGGGGTGGGTGAGGGAGCAAGGGACACTGGGTTCATGCTAGAATGGATGCTGCTTGCTGACAGGCTGTAGGAAAACTGTACTATGTGTTACTTTCTCAGGAGTGGCACTGGGAACCTGAGAACTGCAACAGAATACAGGGCATTGCCAGAGCTGTTAAGTGTGTGCATGTGTAAACACTGGGCAGCGTCCGTACAAGAGTGTGTGGACGTAAGTACATTTGGTGTCATGGGATCAGTGTACAGGTTTTTACTGAAAACAAGTAATACTTTACACATTATTTGATACTTTTCCTAAAAGTAATGCAATTTGTTTCTTAATGACCTGCCGGAGAATGTAATTCGTTACCCTATTTGATACATTACTTTTGTGTTACTCTGTAAAATGACCTTAAACACATTATCGTATAATTATCTATATAAACCATAGGCTATTATTATAATCCATATCTTTTAGTTTTAAAATTGAGATCAAAGAGGCTTCACAGTGATGCAACTGCAGAAACACGAACAGGTAGAAATGAAGGCTACAATGGTGGAAGCCTGACTGCTCGTCACTGTTTTTGTTACCTGTTGAAAATCAAGCTCTGGCTGCAGGACTAGAGTCAGCAAGCCCTCAGCTTTAAAATAATTCTGGGCTCTTGGCTAGCTTTCTGTTAGTATGCTGTCTGTGCAGATGTTTGCAAAGAGTCCACCTTGTGTTAGCACAGTGCGGTTGTATTTGTCTTGATACAGTTTGCATTTCACCATCGTGCTTTTGTCCTTTTATGGAATAAAAGTAAAATTAATGTCCATATTTCTACTGCCTAAAAGCTCCACACCACATTTTTCCTCTTTTCTTCATATAGACAGAAATCAGCTAATAGTAGGGCAAGTGCACAGGAAAAAAGAAAACATGTTAACTTGATGCTTTTTTCTTTCTGTCTGCCTGGTGTGCAAACAACTAAAGAATCTTTGTAAAACAATGTCACAACATAATTGTAACTAACATGTCACTGTGTTACTGAAATATGTAATGTGATTACAGAAACACATTACACTGAACACTGCATGGGACTAGCAGGGAAACAGATATTTCATTTAATTTATTTGCAGTATGTGAGGCTTCACACATTAGCTGCTCGGCTTTCAGGCTATTGTGTGAGAGAGGGCTGAGAGCTGTATGTTGGGTGTGAAAGCAGAAAGAAGTTATGAATTCTGAGAAAGACTGAACAAGGGAGCAAGAAATAGAAAAGCAAAAGGATAAATCTGTAGCTTAGAATGTGGGTCTGATATTGAGTGGTAATGTGGTCAAAGAAAAAAAAAAATCAGCAGTAATTTGTTTTTCCTACCAAGAGCTACAAACTGCCATACTACTAAATGTTATGAAATACTTATAAATGTCAAGACTGGAAAAATACTGGCTAATACTTTGATTAAAATAAGTGAATATTATCAAAAGCTTTATTTTATTCTTGATGATTTTCACTGGTTTTAATCACAATTTTTTCCAGTATTAGACTGTATTTATTTTATTTAGGAAAATTGGGTGTGCAACTTCTTTATTACCATTATTATGAAATTAGTAATTTTTTTGCTAAATTAACAAAAGCAGCTTTGTAGAGTCCAAAAAGTTTAGCTTTATTGTCCCATGAAGCCTGACAATCAAGTCTAACTTGTAGTCTGAAGTCCAAGTATTACATACTCAATTAAAATAGGATTAAAAACAGACTTGGATATCCTTCCTTTTTCAAATGTTAAGTTTGTGGGCAATTAAACATAGCATTACAA